ACTATCATGTACCTCTTTCTTTTTTTCTTTTATTTTTTTCCGTTTATTCATTTATCGCTTCAAAGGTTCCTTATAAAAAACAATCATTGGCATGACAGCAACACACACACACACACACACACACACACACACACACACACACACACACACACACACACACACACACACACACACACACACACACACACACACACACACACACGCACCCACAACACACACGCACCCACAACACACACGCACCCACAACACACACATACACGCACACACACGCACACTAGCACACACACACGTACACACGCACGCACACACACAAACTTCTCACTATTCATTTGTTGATTTGTTGATTAGTTTCATATCACCTGGTGCACAGACGCAGCAGAGCACCATACAGTTTTGTAACTGAAAGAAGCAAAACTCCGGCACGGCTTCACTAAATTCACATAGAAAATGTAAAAGTAACATAATAACCATAGAATAATAATAATAATAATTGCCCTACAAGTGTCCTAACATTATAATTACCACTATGACGTCACCAACCAAATAGAAATATTTCAAACCACGTGACATCCGGAGGGCCTTGACAACAACATTGTACGACAACATTGTACGACAACATTGTACAACAACATTGTACGACAACATTGTACAACAACATTGTACGACAACATTGTACAACAAAAAAAATCGAATATTATCAAAATGGTTAACAATCATATTTTTGGTAGATACGCAACTCAAACAGCGCAAGCGATGATGATATTCTTACTACAACTGCCAGTAACCTCAGTGCTGATTATTTTCCAAACTTTGTTTCCTTTCTAATTCTTTTATTCACATTCTTCCAATTTTGTTAAATTTCTGTTTCTCACATCATCATCATCACCATCATCATCGTCATCATCATCATCGTCGTCGTCATCATCTTCATCACCATCATCACCACCATCATCATCATCATCACCGTCATCATCATCAAGATGGCCACCTACTTTGATTTGTATCTGTTCTTGAGTGGATCTCTGATGCCTGTGTACCTGTCCAATGAGATGGTGCACATGTGCATGATGGAGGAGGTGCACATCATCACGTCTGACATCTGATTGGTTGGTTGATGTTGATTGGTTGGTTGACAATTGGTTGGTTGCTGATTGGTTGGTTGCTGATAGGTTGGTTGGTTGCTGATTGGTTGATTGGTTGGCTGGTTGTTAATTGGTTGGTTGCTGATTGGCTGGTTGGTTGGTTGTTAATTGGTTGGTTGCTGATTGGTTGGTTGGTTTGTTGTTAATTGGTTGGTTGCTGATTGGCTGGTTGGTTGCTGATTGGCGGGTTGGTTGCTGATTGGCTGGTTGGTTGCTGATTGGCTGGTTAGTTGGTTGGTTGCTGATTGGCTGGTTAGTTGTTAATTGGTTGGTTGCTGATTGGCTGGTTGGTTGGTTGGTTTGTTCCCTTATTAGTTGATTGACTGGTTTGGTGGGTTGGTTGTTTAATTGGTTGTTTGTTAATTAGTCGGTTGGCTGTTTGTTTGTTGTTGTTGGTTGATTGTTAGATGATTGATCGATTGTTCGTTTGTTTAGTTAGATGGATGATTGGTCGATTGGTTGACAAAATGCATAAAAATCAATGATTAATCTTACATTTATTCATTCTTGCATTTAAACAGCTTACTCACCAAAACTTTCATTATTTCAATTCTTCATTCATTTGTTCATTAGTTTGTTCATTCAACCATCCATCCATCCATCCATCCATCCATCCATCCATCCATCCATCCATCCATCCATCCATCCATCCATCCATCCATCCATCCATTCATCCATCCATCCATCCTTCCTTCCATTTATCCATCCATCCATCCATTCATTCATTTATTCATTCATTCATTCATTCATTCATTCATTCATTTTCGTATGTTTTTCTGTTTAATTGTTCGTTCGCCCATATATTAATTTATGGACTTGTTCAAATGCTGGTTCATTCGATAAATTTTTAAATATGTTTGTTCAACATTCCGTGAATCGATTGCTTATAAATTCGCACAATCACTGCTTCCATTATTATGGGGTTAATGATTTGTTCATTCATTTATTCAAAGTTTCACTAACTCTGTCGATCAACCTTCATGTTTTTTAATTTTAATTTTTTTTAAATTAATAAATTAATGTTTTAGCTGTGTTGTAATAATAATAATAATAATAACATAAATAATAATATCGTTATTTAACTGCTTGTAACCAGCATAAATGTTAATTTCATTAATTTGCCTGGCAGCCCGAATATTAGTCTGGCACAGAGTTGGGAAGAACTTTTGAGAACTATTTACCTTTGAACCTTTGAAGGGCCGCGTCTGTACTTAAATAGCAAGTTTTTTCGACCCGGGGGAGATATTTTTTAAGATTTGTGGCTTCTTTTTTTGGTCGTAATGTCTGCTGGTCGATCTTTTTTCTGGCGAACAAGACCTCCCGAGCCGTTGTTTGCCCAGCCCTGGTCTAGCAATGTTATGAAAGTAAAACCTCGAAACAACTGTTATTACGCGTGTGTACAACAAATATCAGAATAATTAAAATTTGCTTCTGCCAAATAAAATTAAATTCAAAAATTAAATTCAATAGATAAATTAGTTAATAACGATGAATGAATGAATGGATGAATGAATGAATGAATGAATGAATAAATGAATGAATGGATAGATGAATGAATGAATGAATTTAAATAATAAATGAACGAGTGAAAGAACGAACCAACACATAAACAAAGGAGCGATATTTTATGACTGATTGGTAATAAATGAACATTGAGAGTTTCTGGATATTTTTTTTTGGTTAAACTTTTCATCCATTCACACCCATCAACTGACCAACAACTGAATGACTGAATCGACTGAATTGAAACTACGTCACAAATGAATGATGAAACGAAACGAAACGAAATTTTATTTGCTTCTCAAAATTGAAAATTTAGGAATAACGAATTAAGGTAAATAAAGAAGCAGCAAACAAACGAATCAGCAAACAATCAATCAAATAAACAGACAAACAAACAAACAAACAGACAAACAAACAAGTGAATTTAAGAACCATCAAACGAACATGCATGCAATAAAACCGAGATGAATGGAAATAATAACGAAGTAGGGATGAATTGTCGGTTGGTTCATTTATGAAAATCTATCATCATTTTCATATGAACATCATTGTTAATGAAGACATGAGCAATTGAAGAACATTCTGACTCTGAATGTTCATTAATGTTGTCAACTTCTGCAGAAGGGTTGTCTTCAGCATTTTTGTCATTCTATGTCATCACCAACAATGTTGTCAGTTTATCATCATTATCATCACCATTATCATCATCTTCACCATCATCGTCATCATCATCATCACCAGCACCACGTGGTCAAACTTGATGGATGGTCAACATTCATCGAAGCAAGAATAAGAAGTCTCTTGTTGTTATCGTCCTCACATCAGCTGCACTGTGCCTCTTACATCACGTGCAAACGTACATCACACACAAGACATACAAACATTTACACACATCACACATACACAAACACACACACACACACACAAACACACTCACAGACATTTACACACATACAAAACACACACACAGGCTCACACACACACCTACACGCACGTACACACACACACACTACACACACACACACACAAGAGCACTTTCATCAACACTGGTTCATCATAATCTACATTATAAGCTTGTTAACGATGCTCTGCCCACATGAAGTTGACCAGCAAAAAAGTGAGCAATAAAACACGCAGAATTATTGGAGGCTGTTTGCAGTTAAAATGTCCGCGGTCCTCTCCATTACGTCCAGCCAGGTTGAAGGTCAGACTGGTTGGTTGATGGTGTGCATGGCCGGTGGTCAGTGCAATGCACTTAATGAATGAATTGATGAATGGATGGATGGATGGAATGAATGAATGAATGAGTGAATGAGTGAGTGAATGGATGGATGGATGGATGAATGAATGAATGAATAAATAAATGAATGAATGAATGAATGAATGAGATAATAAACGATTGAATGAGTTAAAGGACAAATAAATAGATAATAAAGTTAAGAAACAAAAAAAATGATACAATTGAACAAATAAATAAATAAATGAAATGTAAAAAGTTTTGAAATGATTGTTGTTTATTTCTGCGACAGATGCTGTCAAATAACCCGACATCCCTGAATATTATTTTCGACTTCCAGGTTGACTTTTTGATTTGTTGGTTTGTATTTTTGTGGAATGTGAAGTTGAAAATGTTAGCTAATTTAAAATAATTAAGTTTGATAACATAAACACCACCACAATCACAAAAGTATGGACATTTCTTCGGGTCTTCTAGCTTTGCTGAATAAACATATCATTGAATTAAAAGTTGAATAATAATAATTCACGATTGGCTGACATGCACTTTTTGTTAGCATACATCTGGCAGATATGTTCGCCTACCTATTTGCGATCGTGAACATGGAAAAATTTTTCAAGTCATGAATTTCTGTGATTTTCTGCGCAAGAATTGGAGTTGGTTTCGTGTTTGTGGCCTTGTGAAGAAGGAAGCACTTCCTAGCCAGGGACGCACGGACACCCATGTCGCAACCATTTCCCTTTCGGGTTGCACGTTGTTGTGTTCCGCACGAGCTTGATGATATGCTCGAGTTTTGTTTGTTTCGAAGTTTATTTCTGATTTGTGGTGGGTGGTGGTGTTTGGAGTTCATGCAGTGGCCGATCGTCGGGAGCAGTGATTCAATAAAAGTCAGAACATGGATCGTTTTGTGTATAAAATGAACCAAAAAAAAGTTGTCATCCACACCACCACAAGTCTTGCCTCCCCCCCTCCCGTGAAAATTTCGGCCCCCCAGTCAAAAATGTCTAGACCCGCAACTGGGTTCATGTGACGTTCATTTCTTTGGAGTTCTGTGTTAAATTTGAATGCAGATAAATAAGTGACTAGGTGGAAGTGGAAGAAAAATATTAAATAAATCAATGTGAATGTGTTGTTTATACGTGTTGTTCATGCGTGTTGTTCATACGTGTTGTTCATGCGTGTTGTTCATACGTGTTGTTCATGCGTGTTGTTCATACGTGTTGTTCATACGTGTTGTTTATGGGTGTTGTTCATACGTGTTGTTCATGAGTGTTGTTCATACGTGTTGTTCATGAGTGTTGTTCATACGTTTTGTTCATGCGTGTTGTTCATACGTGTTGTTCATACGTGTTGTTCATGCGTGTTGTTCATACGTGTTGTTCATGCGTGTTGTTCATACGTGTTGTTCATGCGTGTTGTGCATACGTGTTGTTCATACGTGTTGTTCACGAATGTTTACAGTGTAGATGTGCATGTGTTGTGTGTTTAAATATACATTTATATTTTCGCGTGTCTTGAACATCCATACGAATTTCATGGCGCACAATCATTCCACTATGGTGCCATTTTTGAATTCTTCTCATGGAAAGAAAAAAAATATAAAACCATCGAGCTTTGAATGAGTGACAGAAGCTGCTTGGAAGATGTTATCAGCCGCAGAAATGAACTGTGCAACTGACGGGTGTGACTTTTGAACGACGGTCGTCAATCAGATCGCACGAAGCAACAAAATTTTTCTCTCCACCGAATATTTTTTTAGGGGAACGTCGAAAAGTATTTGATGCACGATTGAATTTATTAATTGAGACATAACATGCACCTGCTCATGCCATTTAAGAGCAACAGCAGCAAGCAACAACCACCCCACAGTGTGCAACGCAACATGAAGCAGGGCCATGCAGGGGACAGGCAGGCAGATGAGGCTTGCAATGATGAAAGGTTTCATTCTGATGCAACGTGGCCACATTTTCTGCTTATTTTTTTCCGTTTCTTGAGCTCAATGTTAACGCGTAACTGCTAGTTGAGTCAGTTGAAACCTCGACGAAATATCAATTGAATTTGAAAATAAATTAAATGTTGCCAACATTTTATGCCAGGGGTTTTTGTGGTTTGGTGATTTGAAAGTTGAAAGGCTTAAACAAGTATCGACATCTTACTTTCACTCAGCCAAAGTTTTTGTAGATAATCTTTGAAAGGTGAAGGTCTTAAAAAAATATA